AAACTTCCTAACACCATACACAAAAATAAACTCAAAATGGATTAAAGACCTAAATGTAAGGCCAGAAACTATCAAACTCTTAGAGGAAAATATAGGCAGAACACACTGTGACATAAATCACAGCAAGATCCTTTTTGACCCACCTCCTAGAGAAATGGAAATAAAAACAAAAATAAACAAATGGGACCTAATGAAACTTCAAAGCTTTTGCACAGCAAAGGTTACTATAAACAAGATGAAAAGACAACCCTCAGAAAAGAGAAAATATTTGCAAATGAAGCAACTGACAAAGGATTAATCTCCAAAATAAACCAGCAGCTCATGCAGCTCAATATCAGAAAAACAAACAACCCAATCCAAAAATGGGCAGAAGACCTAAAACAGACATTTCTCCAAAGAAGATACACAGATTGCCAACAAACACATGGAATGATGCTCAACATCACTAATCATTAGAGAAATGCAAATCAAAACTACAATGAGGTATCACCTCACACCGGTCAGAATGGCCATCATCAAAAAATCTACAAACAATAAATGCTGGAGAGTGTGTGGAGAAAAGGGAAGCCTCTTGCACTGTTGGTGGGAATGTGAATTGATACAGCCACGGTGGAGAACAGTATGGAGGTTCCTTAAAAAACTAAAAATTAAAACTACCATACAACCCAGCAATCCCACTACTGGGCATATACCCTGAGAAAACCATCATTCAAAGAGAGTCATGTACCACAATGTTCACTGCAGCTCTATTTACAATAGCCAGGACACGGAAGCAACCTAAGCATCCATCGACAGATGAATGGATAAAGAAGATGTGGCACATATATACAATGGAATATTACTCAGCCATAAAAGGAAATGAAATTGAGTTATTTGTAGTGAGGTGGATAGACCTAGAGACTGTCATACAGAGTGAAGTAAGTCAGAAAGAGAAAAATACCCTATGCTAACACATATATATGGAATCTAAAAAAAAAAGGTTCTGAAGAACCTAGGGGCAGGACAGGAACAAAGACATAGAGAATGGACTTGAGGACACAGGGAGGGGGAAGGGGAAGCTGGGATGAAGTGAGAGAGTGGCATGGATGTATATACACTACCAAATGTAAAACTGACAGCTAGTGGGAAGCAGCCACATAGCACAGGGAGCTCATATCAGTACTCTGTGACCACCTAGAGGGGTGGGATAGGGTGGGATAGGGAGGGTGGGAGGGAGATGCAAGAGGGAGGGGATATACGTATAGCTGATTCACTTTGTTATGCAGCAGAAACTGACACACCATTGCAAAGCAATTATACTCCAATAAAGATGTTAAAAATTAAAAAAGAATAAAGAACAAAATATTTATATCATCCTGAGAAATATCCTTAAAATAATACAGCAGAGAATTTGATAGTGTTTTCTCTCTAAAATAAGATTCTTCAATAGAGGCCAATGATATTTCACCAAAGTGGTATTCAGAAAAAGCATTGTCCCAGGGTGGCCGATGGATGCCATCCCAGTCTACGGCTCCCGGATGGTTTATTCCAAGGGGAGAGTTCAAGCAGGGCTACTCAGTGTCATCCCAGATACATTGAGAAACTAGTATACCAAGACAGTGCTGTGAGAATTTCATTGTATTTTATACAATATTGGTCCATAGGAGATTGGAAAGTTTTTTTAATGAAAAAAACAAGTGATCCTTCACCACAGATGGTTTTGAAAGCACTGTTTAGAGTATCTAACAATGAATGAACTGCATATCCTTCAGGAATCCTCTGTAATTTTTTTTCTCAGCTGAGTTTCCATAAGGCCTTGAGGGTCAGGGTCCTCGATTATATGCCCTAAAATTGCCCGGATACTTGGTCTCTTCTGATACCCATGAAATGAACCCTATGCAGAGACGTGTGTCACGCGTCATGTGAACTTCACACGTGGATGGGAACTGAGCTGTGAGAAGGCAACCACACCTGCACACACGGGGGTGCAAAGGAGACCCTGCACCTGGGCTGGGATCCTCCCAGCAAGTAACCTGGGTTTGTTCCACGGCCTTACAGTCATTTTAGCCTGGAAAACCTTTACATCAGGTGCAACCGAACACCCACTCAGCCATTAAAAAGAAGTCAGTGTTCGTAGTACATGTAACTTTCAGCAGCACACCCTCCTGATATGACCTCCAGGGCTGAGTGGTTACAAACACTGACCCAGGTCAACTGGTAAGCGAGCTGATGTGCTTCAGCTATCATCCGTAAGCTATGAAGTTAGAGTTAGAAACAAAGAGTTTTTCTAACAAACGTAGTGACTTTGGCTCTAGAATAACTGTCCTGCAGACTTTCTTTGCAGGAGTGGTAAAATATCAGGGTGATTCCCAATAAGCATAATGATAACTAGCACTTACTGAACACTTAACTCTGTACAGCCACATTCTAGTTATTTGTATGCATTAAGTCATATAGTTCTCACAGTAACCCTGTGAGGTGGATGTTACCATTTCCTTTTTTTTTTTTTTTTTTTTTTTTTTTACTGATGAGAAAATGGAGGTTCAGCAAGCTTAGCTTTGTCCACAGTCACTCAGCTGGGACATGGCAGAGGAGCTGGGGCTCTGACACAGGCATGCTGTCTCCAAAGCCGCTGCCGTACCCACTGTGCTCCTCTACCTCTCTGTTTGTAAAGACAGAAATAACCTGTGTCACGTATGCTTATCTTCCTGGAGAGCAGGAGAACAAGCGTAGCTCACCTAAAAATGCCACCAAATAATTAAGAATGTTAAAATAAGAGAGATACTAGGACATATCCCTTGTTTTACCCCCATTGGAAATTTTTATCTGATGCATTTTGAGTAATGAATCATATTTCAGGCATCCCATTGGAAAGATATTGATTAAACTGGAGAATTTCCAGAGGTGAGTTAACAAGCGAGTAAGGGTTCTAAAAACCATGTCCCACGAGGAACGCGTGAAAGACCCGGATATGTTCAACCTACACAGGGAAGTTGCAGAATACACGTGACAGCTCCTCATCAGTTTGGAAGTCTGGCTCGTGGAAGAAAAGTTAACCCAATTCTGTGGCATCAGAAGCAAACTAGTTCAGGGAAGTAGGCATTCCAACAAGCTGACTTTGGCTTTAGTACTGAGCCTCTGTCTCACTGCCTTTGTAAGGAATCACTAACATTTCTTGAGAGCACACTTGAGTTTTGCTATATAATCTCATATAACTGCTACAACAGTCCAGTGAGGATGTACCTACATTTATTTATGCACCAAAACACTGAGGCTTAAAAAGGTTAAGAAAATAGCCTGTGACAGAGCCAGAATCTGAACCCAGATCCATGGTCCTCAGCAGAGCCAGACTAGACTGTCTTCCACAGAGCTGTCCAGCGGCAGTAGACTCCTTTTAATAAAGGAGGTTAAGCAGAGATGAGCCCGTGTCAAGGATGATATGAAGTGAACTCTTCATTGAGAAGGAGGCTATATAGAGGGCTTATTAGATTCCTTCCAGTTCTGATTTCTTACATATAAATTTCTGTGAAAATATAATGCACTTGTTTTAAAGTTTACAACATTGAAGTTACATTACTAGCAGAGCTTACATTGACTTTCTTGCTGCTTTCCTTTTAATTATTAAAAAGGAAGGGGGAATGTGTTGCGGGGGGTGGTGGTGGGATGAACTGGGAGATTGGGATTGACATGTATACACTAGTATGTATAAAATAGATACCTAATAAGAACCTGCTGTATAAAAAATAAAATTCAAAAATTCAAAAAAAGAATAAAGCTGAATATACCAGAAACTAACACAACATTGGAAATCAACTATACATCAATTAATAAAAAATAAAGTGGCTATAAACCTCAAAAAAAAAAGGGGGGGGGGAGATAAAGAGCTTTATTTTTGCTACTGAGTAGATAATCAGCATCGTCACATTTCATAATTTTCATAATTAGCCATTCATTCATCTAAAGAAGGTTTTTAAAGAGCATCTCTGTGAGCTGCTGAGCTGCACTGTAACAGGTGCAGGTAAGCGGCCCACAACACCTGGAGTTTGCTACCTCCCTGAAAATGGGCATCAGTAACCTTTAAATTATAAATGATGAACTATAAGTTAAAGCAAAAGGAAAAAAGAAATAGGTTATATGTAAATATTTCATGTAGCTCAGTGCTCCTCAAAATTGTCTGTCAAAGTATCCCTGCTGGCCAAGAAGAATAAATGCCTTGTACCCTGGAAGGTCTAGGGAAGCAACTTAAAGGAGGCCTCTGTAAGCGGGAAGCTTCTTTTTTTTCCTAACGTTTCACAGAAACGTTGCATTTGTGCAACATAGTCTAATCTGTGTCTTAATATTTACATGTTTTAAATTACCATAACCACTATTGCTAAAATTGAAACTGTAAGATGGTTTTCATACCCCGTAAAACATTGCCTGATACATCCGGAAGTACATACATCCCAGTTTAATAAGCCAAGGCTTATAACAATACCTTGTATTTAAAGTTTTCTTCCCATTGAAAAAGATATTTTCAAGGAAACCTGTGGAAACCTATGGAAACCTGTGGATATGGGAAGGATAGATATTCATGACTCATACAGTTAAGGCGAGATGTTCATACATGTTAAGCCTTATGGGAGATTTACTTTTCTTTCCTCTAATATTAATTTCTCCTACAGATGGTTATGTAGAATATAGAAAATTACATAAATTGGTGGAACAGGATAAGAAAAAAATTACTTGAAAGAGTAGGATATAATTTTTTGGTATTTGAGAATGATTTGAACTTTTAAAAGGTTGCAGAAATGTTGGACACATTATGCTGAGAAGATTCTTTTATTGGTTAGCACGTAGTTCAGACTCACGTTTTACTGGTGTTTATGACATTTACGTAGGTTTTAAACGTAAAGTGATGATTCTAAATAAAATTATACTACAAACATACATGGTAACCTCTTCTGAAATTGATACTGCTTGTTTTAGGGAAAACGTGGATACGTAAAAATTTATGAATGTAATTTTTTGTTGTTGTTCAGGAGAGAAGCCATATGAATGCCCAAACTGCAAGAAACGTTTTTCCCATTCCGGTTCCTATAGCTCACACATAAGCAGTAAGAAATGTATCAGCCTGATGCCTGTGAACGGACGACCACGAACAGGGCTCAAGACCTCGCAGTGTCCCTCACCATCTCTCTCAGCATCACCAGGCAGTCCCACGCGACCACAGATACGGCAGAAGATGGAGAATAAGCCCTTCCAAGAACAACTTTCCGTAAACCAAATCAAAACTGAGCCTGTGGATTATGAGTTCAAGCCTATAGTGGTTGCTTCAGGAATCAACTGTTCAACCCCTTTACAGAATGGGGTTTTCAGTGGTGGTGGCCCCTTACAGGCAACCAGTACTCCTCAGGGTGTGGTGCAAGCCGTTGTTCTGCCAACGGTGGGGTTGGTGTCCCCCATCAGTATCAATTTAAGTGATATTCAGAATGTACTTAAAGTGGCAGTAGATGGTAATGTAATCAGGCAAGTTTTGGAGAATAATCAAGCCAATCTTGCATCCAAAGAACAAGAAACAATCAGCACTTCATCCATCCAGCAAGGTGGCCATTCTGTTATCTCAGCCATCAGTCTTCCTCTGGTTGACCAAGACGGGACAACCAAGATCATCATTAACTACAGCCTCGAACAACCTAGCCAACTTCAAGTTCCTCAGAATTTAAAAAAAGAAAATCCAGTCCCCACCAACAGCTGCAAAAGTGAAAAGTTACCAGAAGATCTTACTGTTAAATCTGAGAAGGACAAAAGCTTTGAAGGAGGAGGGAATGACAGCACTTGCCTCCTGTGTGACGACTGTCCAGGGGACATCAGCGCACTTCCGGAGCTAAAGCACTATGACCTGAAGCAGCCCGCCCAGCCCCATCTGCCCCCAACACCAGAAGTTGCCAAGCCCGAGGCCTCTGCTCCCTCGGGGTCCGGAGATGGCAGTTTGTCTCCCAGCCAGCCACCTTTAAAGAACCTCCTGTCTCTTCTGAAAGCATATTATGCTTTGAATGCACAGCCAAGTGCAGAAGAGCTCTCAAAAATTGCTGACTCAGTGAACCTACCGCCCGATGTAGTGAAAAAGTGGTTTGAAAAGATGCAGACGGGACAGACTTCAGTGCAGTCTCCTGAAGCATCTTCTCCCGAGCCAGGCAAAGCCAACATCCCTGCTAAGAACGATGATCAGCCTCAACCCACAAACGCAGATGAGTCCCAGGATGGCACAAGGAATCTCCAGAGTCCTCTGAAGATAACTAGCTCCCCCGTCCTACCAGTGGGCTCCGCGGTCAATGGTTCCAGAAGCAGCGCATCATCCCCATCCCCCCTCAACCTCTCCTCCTCCGGAAACGCACAGGGTTACCCGTACCCGGCAGAAGGGGCACAGGAAGAGCCACAAGTCGAACCTCTTGATCTTTCACTACCAAAGCAACAGGGAGAGTTATTGGAAAGGTCAACTATCACTAGTGTTTACCAGAACAGTGTTTATTCTGTCCAGGAAGAACCCTTGAACTTGTCTTGTGCAAAAAAGGAGCCACAAAAGGACAGCTGTGTCACAGACTCAGAACCAGTTGTAAATGTAATCCCACCAAGTGCCAACCCCATAAATATCGCTATACCTACAGTCACTGCCCAGTTACCCACGATCGTGGCCATCGCCGACCAGAACAGCGTTCCGTGCTTGCGAGCGCTGGCGGCCAACAAGCAGACCTTGCTGATCCCCCAGGTCGCCTACACGTACTCGACTGCAGTCAGCCCCGCGGCGCAGGAAGCAGCCCTGCGGGTGGCCCAGCCCAACGGAAATCAGGTAAAGAATGCTCGCACCCTCGGCCTCTACTGGTCTGGTGCTCGTTTGACTTATTTCAGTGAATTTTTCTAATAAAAATCGGTCCCGAGAGAGCCAAGCAGCGTGTTAAGCTGTCATTCTTGAAAGGAAATAGATGAATGTGTGCCTTAGTACTTTTCAACGGCAGTTTTGTTATTCTGCGGAGAAAAGGGTCGATGAGTCTCAGCTAAATATTGACTGTTTGAAACTAGAGACAGAAGAGGAAAGTAAAACTGGAATGCTCACTAATCAGACTGCTGTTTTTATAGTTAGATTCCCAAAATTCGTTAACTTTGTGTTGATTATGATCATTCGTAAATGAGAATTTGTTCACAGACATTTCACACCAGGCAAACTTAGCTATATCACTTTTTATGTGTTAACACCTCAGTTTATAAAAAAAACTTTAATTAAACAAACAAAAATTAAGTATATAAAGAATTCAGCTAGTGAATTTACTAATGATTTTATAAGCTGTAAACTAAATAGTGTTCAATCATAATGATATCTGAGGGAATATACTTGTGAATCTACGTTTGCAGTTTCCTCTTTAACTCCCCCCAAATCCATGACGGCTTTGATAGAACCGATTTGTGTGATTGCCGTGTGTCTCAGTGTCCGGGCTTTTTCTATGTCACTGACCTTGATGTCTCTCCATTTTTTTTCCCATCAATTTCTGATTAAATTTATCTCTAGTATTCATTTGATTCAATCTTTTTTCCAAATATTTGCTATAAGTAGGTGCAGCTAAAATAATTACAGTATCCTGTTCAGGTGTGTTTTGCTGCTTTTTTCTCCTTAACTGTTGCTACCAGTGGGCTTCCCGTAATTGTGGTAACTCTTGAAAAAGTTTTCACACGGCTAAATTTCTCACTAAGTCTAAATTTTGGGTATATAAAACACTCTTCATGCCTTTGAATAATAAACAGGGAACCACAAACATTTCAGTTAATCATCCAAATCATCGACGTTTCAAATAACGTTGAAAATAGAGTCCCTTTAGCACCATTAGCAGCTCTCAAATGCCAGAAAAATGTCGGCACTTCTCCCGCCTTACAAAGCCGTAAGAAATGTGGAAAACCTTTGAACTTGTAGAAAATTTGTGAGTTTAGAGTGGAAGACTTCAGAAGAGACACAGGATCTTAGGGGCCCAATCCCACTACAGTCTCCCTGAAGAATTATTCTACCGACAGGAGGCCCAAGTTTCCTCCCCAACCCTATCCCTAACCCGAAACTCTGAAGATTCATTGTCTTGCAAGTGTTCTTGTTTAGAAATGTAGACCCTCCTACATCGTTTCCACCTTGCTCCTTAGAAAAGTGATAGGGAGACAGTGGAGTTTAGCTCACAAAACTCTAAGGTTCTGGAAGATACAATTTAAAGACCACTTTTTTAAAAAACAGAATCTTAATTTTTGCTTAGTGAAACCCAGAATGAAAAAGTGAAGGTAAGTGATGCAGTCACAAATCTGTGATTGTTTAGCAGACTCGTAAGTTAAAACTTTCTGCCAATTTCTCATAGATTAACGATTCATATGGAACTAGGTGGACTGTGTTGGTACTGCGTTTTGTATTACTTATTCTTGGTGTCCTTTCTTCTTGGCGCCAGCTGGCCCTGGGTTTGCTGCGGTTGTGGCTGTAGCGCCCCTGCCTTTTGTCTGTGTCAGCCCCACCTGTCACCTGGCCCTCCCCTCAGAGCCTGCTTTGGTCAAGTTGTTGAAAGTGTAAATCACAGTAGTTCTTTAATCTGTGCTTTTATTTATGTCTCTTGTTTATCTTGTAACTTTAAATGAAATTTTCCTACTTCTTTGTCTCCTTTAGGACGAAAGGCAAGACACTAGCTCAGAAGGAGTATCAAATGTAGAAGACCAGAATGACTCTGACTCCACGCCCCCCAAGAAGAAAATGCGAAAGACAGAGAATGGAATGTATGCTTGTGACTTGTGTGATAAGATATTCCAGAAGAGTAGCTCGTTGTTGAGACATAAATACGAACACACAGGTATGTATGCTCATGAACCTGGCAGTTTTGGAAAAGCAAATCTATAACCACTTCCAACCTGAAGTGCCCCGAAGCCTGTCGCCTTAATGCCATCTTATTTCATTAGCTGTGCCCTTATTTTCAGGTAAAAGACCTCACGAGTGCGGCATCTGCAAAAAGGCGTTTAAACACAAGCATCACCTGATCGAGCACACGCGCTTGCATTCCGGGGAGAAGCCCTACCAGTGCGACAAGTGCGGGAAGCGCTTCTCCCACTCGGGCTCCTATTCGCAGCACATGAACCACCGCTACTCCTACTGCAAGAGGGAGGCCGAGGGGCCCGAGCCGGGGGCCGCGGGCCCAGGGGGCCCGCCCGCGCACCACGCAGGGGCCCGCGCCTCCCCCTCGCAGGGCGACTCGGACGAGAGGGAGAGCTCCACGCGGGAGGAGGACGAGGACAGTGACAAGGAGGAGGAGGAGGAGGAGGAGGAGAGGGAGATGGAAGACCTGCAGGAGGAAAAGGGAAGTGGAGGACCGCAGGGGGGGGAGGGGCGC